CGTAACAATAGCCCGCGCAGGCTGTGAGAGTTTGGGGAAGCTTGGCTGATTAAACTGCCCGCAGCTCCAGGTTGGGGGGCGGCGGGGAGGGCTGGGGGGAGCGGGATGGCGGAGCTTGGAGGAATATTTCCTGCTGCAGAACCGGTCCCCTGGCTCCGTCCGCGGGGCCGGGAGCAGGCGGGCACGCCGGGATGTTGGGTGTTTTTGGAAGTGGGAGAGGTAAATTGGCAGGGGTGGAGGCTGGGCTTAAAGTTAAGGCTGATGTAAAACTTCCTTTGCAGAGGCGACGGGCTGCTGCCAAGATTGCAGTAAAGCTTGGAGGAATATTTCCTGCTGCAGAACCGGTCCCCTGGCTCCGTCCGCGGGGCCGGGAGCAGGCGGGCACGCCGGGATGTTGGGTGTTTTTGGAAGTGGGAGAGGTAAATTGGCAGGGGTGGAGGCTGGGCTTAAAGTTAAGGCTGATGTAAAACTTCCTTTGCAGAGGCGACGGGCTGCTGCCAAGATTGCAGTAAAACATGTGGGATTCGCAGCCTCTCCTGGCACCTGGCTCTGCTGGTTGCTGAAGATGCTGTAAGGGTGTTTGGGGCACAAACCCGCCGTGCTTTCACAGGCTGAGCCTGGGTGCTCTTCTGCCTGCGAGGTTTTACCCCCCTTGAACAGAGGACCCGGGTTTATTCTGTTTCGTCAGTGCGAATGCAAATTAGTTCTTTTGGCTTATATTGGTATCAACTGAAGAGGAAAAACTTGTTCTGGAAAAGTCTGTCAGACATAGCAGTAAAGTGAGTTGTTTTTTTTTTTTTTTAAATAAAGCTAAATCTGAACTGTACTGGAATTAGGAGAGGTCTCCAAATAATGCACAATCTGCCTTTTTTTTAATTATAGATGCTGGGGATCAGTCTGTTCGTATGTGTTTTTTAATAGCCACAAAGCATCATGCAAATTTATATTTCCATTTCTTGATTGGGGAGGGGGGAGAGGAAAGGGGATTTTTTTTTTTTTATTTGCTTATATCTTATTTATGGATTTACTTTGGACACAGGGGAATGCTGCTGAGCAAACTTCAAATATTACCTTATCTTACAAACCAGGCTTTTGATGTTGGCAAGATCAGAGGCTTGTTTCAGAGCCGTTGCCAAATGAAGATGGGAGTGAATGCATATGCGCATGAGTCTGATATTTCAAAGCAGCAGTAAAACTACATTCAGGTTAGGTCAGGCACATCTGAGTCAAAAGGCTAAGATAATTGGCTCAGCTTAAATGGCAGCTGACTGGGTAGAAGACTTCAAACTAGTGTTTCCCCCAGAAACAGATTGGCTTAGCCCCAGCCTGGTTAGCTGAAATGTTTATAATTAAACTCTACTATTTAGTGCCTAAACTCTGTAGCTCTTCAGCCCGCAGCTTTTAGTAGCCAAGAAAGTGAGTGCAAATGTTTACTGCTGGGACGAGGGGAGAGGTGGCACCTGGAGAGCTGGGGTTAACCCTTGTCCTGCCCCGAAACCTCTGGCCAAGCTCAGCCTTTTCATTTCAAAGGCTTTTTCGCCTGGTCTGGGGGTTCTGCTTCAGCATCAGGGTTCCCCCCGCCCCCCATATCTCTCGCTGTACTGAGCCTGGCTCCAGCTCCATCCGTCTGTCCCGCCTGCAGTCGGGGATCACCGCTGGTCACCCCTTCAACCCCGGCGTTGTCCATTCCCCCCTGTTTTATATGGAAGGCCTAGGTTTAGACAGCACTCATCAAAGGGTCTGTAAAAGTCCCTCCCCATTCCCCAGGCTGACTTTCCCGAGCTGCTCCACAGCCTTCCCATCCCAATGAAATACCTCTTTTTTTTTTTTTTTTTTTTCCTTTTCCCTTTTTAATTCTGCACATTGTTACAAGTTGTAGAACTCTTCTGACAAGGCAGGGCTGTAGAAGCAGGGAGCAGGAGGTTTGATGTGGGGCTCTCCAATGCAACCGGAGCAGTTTTAGGGGGAAGGAGCAGCCTTCCTACCGACCTGAATGAGGGCAGGTCTTAAATGAGGACCCATACTGTTGGGTCAACGTTGCTTTTTCTCCTCCTTTTCGAGCCACCCTGCCTGGGAATGGCACGAGTCCCCATTC